TCGTAAATATAGTTATTTCAAATGTCAAATTAAAAGGCATTGCGATAGATTTTAAAATTAGACAATTAGGCCCCAGAATTCAATAAAAATAACTTTATTTAGTTTTTTTATTGCAGAAGAAATTCCTGAGCAACGTTGATGTATTCAACTATGTACATACAAAATGTTTATTTCTAAGTATCTACCAAATTTATGTAGTAAGTTCCAGTAAAGTATAGACATTTTTAGACAACAAGTGTCCAGTGATATTTAAATCTGGCTAGTCGGTCGCTAGGTCAAGGGCGAACTTATTAAATAAACATGACTGTTTTGATAAAATGAATGTTTTCCCAAAACTCGCAGTTTATCACACACAAAACAATAAGTTTACCAAAATAACGTTTCCGATTACAGGTTAATATGCGACAGAGTCTAAGATAAGCACCTTGATTCACTCATATCTGACTGGTACTTAATTATAAATGTACCTACATTATAGCTAAAGGTGATATTAATATAAATGTAAGCTTTGCCGGCTAATTTTTATATTTAAAGTACGGGGTAGATATCGACGCTGGAAAGCAAACACGTAGTAACCCGCAAAACCAAAATTGTTCTTAAGAGCAGAAAAACTACTATTTTCTTCGATAAAAATAGTAGTTTTTCAGCTCTAAATAAGGTGTTTCTTAGTCAATTTATACGGAAATAAGATTTTTTGTTTGAACAAATATAAATATTTACCACTCTTAATAGTCATTTTGGTGTTGCAAGTTACTACTTGTTTGCTTTCCAGCGTCGATATGTGTAGGTATTAAAATCTATGGCCTTAATATAATATTTTATGGTATTGATAATCGACATGAAAAAAGGAACAAAATTTTTATATTCTAATAGAATGAAAAGGCATCATATGTTTTTTTGCTATGTAATGATTAAAAGTATTTTGATAAGTATATTCAATAGAATTAGTATAAGTACCCAGTTATTTGTCAACCAAGTTGGTTCCAAGCATAATAATCAATTATATTATTACACAACCAACTGTCCAAGGCGGTGTTTAGTCAGTAAGTCTGATATAACCTCACAGCCGGTTGTGAGGTATCCAATGAAGGATTCACCGCCTCCTTCCCCCGTTGGAAGTTTGGTTCCGAACCCCTAAGGTTGAGAGCCGAAAAAAAAAATTGGTAGTTATTAATACCTACATTACTTGTATATTTATACATTAGTCCAGTTAGTGCATAATATGTACATAGAAGACGGAGTTATTGTAAATCAGTTAAGTAGCTTTTTGTTGGAATTAACCAATTCTGTATAATGAAACTTTCATTATTAAATGATATTATTCTTTAATTAATTTAAATTTATATTATCAAAAGTGCTTGAAATTCACCAGTCCTAGATGTTCGAGAATACGAACCCTGAATTTTTTGCAATACGAGAGACTGCTACTCCGTATGAATCGGAAGGGAGCTTCGCACAATCGTGGGAAAGTCCCATAACTGGACACACTCACAGCACACCGGGGACACATACTAGGCAATTCAACACTCCGCGAAGCCTGTAAAGATCCTAAAAAGTTTCTGCCCCTCTGGGCGGAGTTGGGTTTTTCACGTACAATGGACCGATTAGAGTTTCTAAGAGGGGATAATTGAAGCCATCTAACCTTACCTAACTACGAACGACTGTTAAAATCATTGAGCTTTTTGCAACCACTTGTTTCTTTCGATACTTGTGACTTTATTTTCACTAATTCATCTAAAACTCCTAAATAAAAAATTTAAACTTTTGATTAAGATGAAAATGTGTTCTACTTAATTATAAAATATAATAAATGCACGGTTCTAATGATTACGTATGTTCGACAAGCTGTGCCCGCGACTTCGTACGCGTTGAAATTATTTTTTATTGTTGTGTAGCATTGTGGATGCAAAATTGGTCATACATGATAATGTAACAGTTAATCAAAAATATTTTATTATTTAATGAAGAATCAGTGGCAGCTACTTTGACTTAGCTCGATATTTTGCGAGACCTTCAGGAATTTCTGAAAACGTTAGTAGTCTAGTACATAATCTTGCATTGCATGAGTACAATTTACATTTCATCCATCATCAGGAAGGGGAAAAACAATCTTTCCGTGGTGCTACTGGATGGTTTGGTAGCACAACGATATTTTTTAACGGTTTTCAAATTAACAATTATCGTCCCAAATAAACAAAACTATAATTGTTATACTATAAATCTTACCTATGAGCTAATATAACTAATATAGCTAATATAACTTGAAAATATTTTGCTAGCTTATTAATTCATCGTGTTCTTATCGCGTTGAGTTAGAAGCGGCGGGGAGACTGCTTTATATATATAATTAGTGATGATACTAACAGAACAATAAAAAACTACTTATTACGATTGTAAAGCCAACTACATGGAGCAAAACAATTTACGCTAAGGTCAAGAATGATCCAGATATTAATTGAGAAAAATAAGTATAGCGATTATGTCATCTCCGATGTATTGTAGATGACACACTTTCAGTTTTAATGTGTCTCAGTTGATTTCTGTCGCTGATATGCTTTATTGTAATCGTATGACATTGATTCCTTACTGACCCGTGTCTATACTCGCCTGACATGATTAGTAAGTCAAACATCGATTTTCTTGAACTTGGACTGACTTAAAATGCACTCAACGTGCAATGCTGTGTGAATGTTGTAAATGAAATTTCGCGATAAAAGTCACTAGGGCAGGGGTTGGCAAACTGCGGCTAGCGAGTTGCATGTGGATGTTTTGATGTAAAGTTGCAGTTCTCAAGTTCCATCTACCAAAATGATTTATTGTCGAAACTTGGCCGAACCCTTTTGGATCGTGTAATTGATTTACAATTGAGTAGGTACCAATATTATAATACGATTGAGATATCTCCTACCTAAGGTATATACCTTTACAATATGACTAAATTAGTTTATTTGAAATAAAATCGAATACAGAAATTTCAATAATTAGAAAAACATCTTTCAATGTCTCTTAAAAAGAAAAATTTAGGCTTTTGGCTCTTTTGTCTCATATGGTTGTCGACCCCTGGTCTAGGGGAATTGCTAGTTACGATTAAGCTTTTGATACATGACAATTTGTAGGGACACCTTTCAAACCTTTAATAAAACATACGAGTTATAAACAACGATGTTTCCAAAATCATTTAGACTTTGAATGTATATTTCCATATTAACAGCAGAGAATCAAACTGCTGCAGTAGCCTTTTACCACAGAGTTAGTAGTTGTGCCAAATGTGATATGTCATCATCTATACTAATATTATAAAGAGGAAAGATTTGATTGTTTGTTTATGTTGAATAGACTCCAAAACTACTGGACCATTTTTAAATACTTTTAACTACAGGAAGCTCTATCATACGCGATTGTCATAGGCTATAAATTAAACAAGCGAAGGTGCGTTTTAAAAAGCTAGAGTAGTGAAAACCTCGTGTGTTCATAAGTTTTGAGACGAAATAAAAGTTGAGTAACTTTTTTAAGAATTAAATTATATTTCTAAAATTCTCAGTAACCATAATCAACAATAAAATATATATTTTTTCAAAATGACCGCCCTTGTTTTTTATGCAGGCCCTTAGACGATTTGACCGGTCATCAATGGTCCCACAAATATTTTCTAGCGGAATTCACTTTGCTTCTCGAACAAGGGTTCGCTGCAGTGACTCCAAGTTTGGGTGGGACTTCGACAGGCCCTGAGCTCTAATTTAGTCCATAAAGAATAATCCAACGGGTTGAGGTCGGGGCTGGAGGAGGGCCACTTGTCCGCCGCGATCAAGGCCGGCACGTTCTTCCTCAACCAAGCTTGGGCCCTTTTGTCTTATGGGATGGTGCCGAGTCTTGCTAAAAAACCTAATCCTTATTGTGAAATAACGTATCAGACAGGGGTTTCGCCACGAGCTCTAAAATATCATTCTGATAATTCTTGGCTTTCACCTAGACACCTTGATGGCAGAAATGGAGCGGAGTGACACCTTCATACGAAACTCCTCATCATTCCATCACACTAGCCCGATGATGAGTGCGCGAGAAATTCCGTGCAGAAGCTGGGACATCCTTGCTACTTTTAGCGTACATTTTATTGTTTTGTCTGTTGAACTTTTCTTCGATAGTAAAAATTTTCTTGAGGGTGAAGAGTATCTTCCTCAGCAGCAATGGACAACGTTTGCGTCGTAACTTACGAAGACGATCGTTTAAAAAGTGAACTTTTCTACGGCTATAGCCCTTTACCTGAAGGACATATTTTAGTATTCTGTTCACTGAGACGCGCGAACTATTAGTCTGCAGAGCGAGTTTCTTCCGAGTTCGACATGGATTTCGGCGAAGTCGCTCTCCGACGATTTTGATGTTCGCAGGCGTCCTCACACATCGTGGCCGATCAGATTGTCTCTTTCTACCTAAGTAAAAAGAGACAATCTGTTTTGAAAAGAGAACTTGTCTCTTTCTACTTTAGTAGAAAGAGACAAGTTCTCTTCAAGATCGGTTAAAATTTGTATTAAGTAGTCTAAGTTACGGCTTACAAGAAAACTACAGCTCGTGGAAAATCTGCGTCGGCTTTTTTGCCGTCTTAAATAGCGAAATGACAGTTGCACATAATTCTTTCGTTCCCTCCAAATCGAGAAAATATAAACAAATGAATTTGGGATACAAATAACCTAAACGTTAAAATTCCAAATTCAAATTCGGCAAAAGAAATAATAACAACCAGTAACGTTTTATTTTAAAAGTTTGTCTCAAAAGTTATGAACACACGAGGTATAATCTCAGGTATAGCAAATAACGATACATAGCTAAGTAGTATGGTACTATGAAACCTTATTTTATGTGTATTATTCGTCGACTGTAATTTAAACATGAGCTTACGAAATATGTTTACTAGTTGGTGCGTTTCAAGTTCTCATACGTTTGCAGGGTGTTCCCGAGTATTTATTTCAATTCTGTGAAGCCGGTGTTTATCTATACGCGTCTATATAAAGGCGTTTATGTTCTGGCTGGGTCATATGACTCCTGGTCGTGGCCTCATCGACACATGTTCCATTGACATACGAATTGTGATAAAAAAATGTTGTTAAAATTTGTATTAATTTTGACTGCTGTAGTTATGGTTAGTGCGAACCCTGTCCTGACGCGATCGCCTTATGAAGGTAAGTACTTAGATTAATTACTAATAAGATATTATATATGTGTTGTTATCGAAGTGAGACATGCTGGCGACGTTTTCATGATTTTAATAATATATTATTTGCCGGTGAGAATTAACATTGTCGAAATTTTTTACTCCAGGGGAAGTCCGGAGACTAACCTCTTTTTACTTGAATTATCATATCTTCGTATAGATTTGTCGTAGAGACTAGATTATAATTTTAATTCATGTGTAATTTATACAGACTTGTTTTTGCATCATTACTCTTTAAATATTTCAATACTGTAAATTGCTAAGCCGATTTGAAGTAAAAATGGGAAATGGATCAACTCTCCCCACTATAAGGGACATATGATGAAGTCTGAGGAAAGTCATTATCAGGGGTTTTAGTAATTTCTGTTTATTTTTTTAGTATCATCTTTCTATTAGAGCCTTTTGCGTAGTTTTGCTTTCATATATTTATTATTTGGAATTTATATTTATCGTTTTTCTCAAAAATTAGAAAAACTATTCCAAATGTTATTTGCCTTCTGTTCACTTGTTTTATTAACATTTATAATATTGAATTGAGTGCAAGTAGTATTATGGCAGAAGAATCATCACCACAGATGGTATAATTAACTACTGATGTCTTCAACAAGAACAGTGGTTCAACTCTCCCGCATACATCAATTCGACATAAAATTTTCATTGCAGAAAAGGTATTCAATTACTGTTAAAAAAATTAACATACTTCAAACTAGGATAATCAGCAAACACGATAAAAATAATACACAATACTTACATCGATAAACACGGCCAGTATCTTAAAACTACTAATTATTTAAAATTTATTTTGTAGTGACCAAAACACTTTTCGTAACTTAAAAGCTAAACAAACCAGGCATTTTGTGCAATAGTGACACATACATTATTGGTCTTCCATACATGATCTACGACTGTGTGAATGTTTCATTAGCTTGCAATTTACGTTGAATTTTGAGAAATGGTTCAACTCTGCCATCTGGGCAAGTCTCCGGACTCCCCACATCATTTGCTGTAATCTGTCTTCTCATTGATTTCGTTTTGTATGTATTTATTTTCTAGAACCTTCTATTTAAGATATTATGATCATTCAAATAAGCACGGTAAGGGAAAATAACGAATTTTTTGCCGCGCTTTTCGCAGCGTTTTTATTTTGTGAGAAAAATTTAATGTCATGTCGAGATCATATGGAATCCGTTCATATCGACTTTTGTTGTTATCAACTAGAGTCGATATGAACGGATTACATGACATTAATTTCGACATTTATTTCAGCCCGCATATATATGTGGGCTGAAGTAAAAGACTGAAACAATTCACTCACAAAATTCATCAATGATATTAAAATCTGTTTATATTACATTCATTATTTAAAAAAAACTTATTAAGAATGGCGTCTATAGAGAAGATAAAATTATTTGAACTGATTACTGGTAATGAAAAATATTTAGATGATATGTATGTTCTATGTTTTATGGTATGGAGTAGCTCGGTGGCGTAGTGGATAAGCGCCGCGGCCCGCGATCGTTGTCGTTAAGCAACTTTCGCAAGGGTCGGTCACGGGATGGGTGACCATAAAATTATTATCTCGAGCTACTCCGTGCTTTGGAAGGCACGTTAAGCTGTTGGTCCCGGTTGCATTTGCAGTCGTTAATACCCTCCAATCCGCATTGGGCCAGCGTGGAGGGTCATGGCCTATCCTCCTTAACCATCCATAAGAAAGGCCTGAGCCCCTGCAGTGGGGACGTAAAATGTTCACATTTTGCTCAAGCCAAATTTGGTTAGTGTGCGCCTTATGACCCGGGGTGAATTATGTTGGAATGTCCACACTTCGTTTTTGAATAAGCTGTTGTTGAGAGGTTTAACTACCGCTTCTAACACGGTATCTTGATACACTTTGGCTGAAGTTTTCACTCCCTTTTTTTGAATTTTATGACCCCTTGGTTGGAGACACCCCACCAAACCATGACGTATGCTCAATGATGGCCTCGCTGAATTTTGGCCACTACCTTGGAAGCTTCTTTAAAGTTGTGTACACGTGATCGTTTTGTTTGTTGTAGAGCTCTTTGATTGTAATTTTTTTTTTCATCGGTAAAGAGAATTTTTCTTTGTTTTTCGTCCGCGTATCGAAGTTTTGAACAGCTGTTTTGATCTTTCGACTCTCTTTTGTTTTAGTGCCTGATTTAAGGTATGTCCTGTGTATCTCCAGTAAACCCCTAAACCTAAGTCTTGTTTGATAATCCGGGAAAATGTCCTCAGTGGGATTTTCAAGGATTTTCTACTTCCTTATGGGATTTCGATGAATTCTGGCCATGACTGCATTAAGGGCCTGGTTTGTTGCAACAGACCGCGATTGGCCGGATTTCTCACGGTCATCAACAGACATGGTTTCAATGTACCTTTGGATGGTACGATACACAAACATTCGGCTTATACCTAGTTTTTTCAATGTATCAAAAATGTCGGCTGGCTACTTACCTACTTTGAACATTGCAATTACTGCAATCCTATTTTCTTTAGTGCCCCACTCCATTTTCAAAACAAATTTCTAAACAAAAAACATACAATAATACGGGGAGACAAGTCTATTTTTTTATCGTAGTAGCTAATGTTCGAAATTCAATTTAATGTTTTTTTAAATGTATATAAACATCCAGTAACAGAATTTATGGCTAGACTAGGTATAAAAATATCACTAAAAAGCATAACATTTTTTTTTCTCAAAAAAATTGAACCGACTTCATACTTTAAAAAGGTGATAAATAATACTTATCTCAAAAGCGACTTATTCAAGAAAATAATATTAAAGGCAGGGAAGTTCTGTTGGTAATTAACTAAATGACAGGCGCCCGATTTCGATAGCATTTTCTTGAATAAGTCGCATTCAATATAGGTATTATTTATCACTTTTTAAAAGTTTGAAGTCGGTTCTAATTGTCGAATAAATTTTTTTATGTGTATATTTTTATCATTTATAATCTTATGATTATACATTTGTTTGATAAAGCAATTCATTTAATCTAAATTAGTTTCGATATTTCGCATGTCTGCCTCCAAAGGTGGTTACTGACGAACTTTAGTAGTTCCAACTAATTAGCGGGTTCGTGTGTCTACCCGCTAATTAGTTGGAACAGGTTGGGCAGAGATAATGTTTCGCTAACAAGAGATATTTGCAGTAACTTTTAACGAGTACTTAATTAAATTGCTATGAGGAACGTTCTAGTAGGTACCCTATGCAATGCAATTAATGTAGTACACACACACGGAGCCCACAAAAGTCCATTAGAGTTGGACTTTTGAGGGGTCCGTGTGTGTACTATCCGTAGTCGTCTAAAACGTTTAGGAAATTTGATATTTTCTGAAGTTATAGCCTAGATCAACCGCGTATGATGGAGCACTCTGTAGGTGAAAGAAGAATCATCATCATCATCATCATCATCAGCCCTTTTACGTCCCCACTGCAGGGGCTCAGGCCTTGAAGAATATTAAAAATTGATCCAGTAGTTTCGGAGCCTATTCAATGCAAACAAACAAACAAATCCTCTTCTTATAAATATAAGTTTTATAAATCCCTGTATTGAAATAAATATACGATATAGGGTGTGATATTTAAATACGAAAACCTGTTTTTAGGAATATGCAACCATTGGTTTTAGTGACAAAATAAGCTGCTTTCATACATAAAAAAATAACTAATTCACAATTCGGGAATCGAATCCGGACTTGCCGTTGGTCACGACTGTCGCAGTCAAATGCGACAGTCGTGACCAACGGCTTAACGTGCTTTCCGAAGTACGCTGGACCGATATAATAAATTTTGGGTACACATTCTATAACCGACCATTGCAAAAGTTGCTTTGTAATAGTATCGCAGGCACCATAACACTATGTGTTTTCCTAAAATGTATATATATGTATAAAACTTTGTTTTATTCGTTTTGTTGTAAGGCACTTATATTCACATTTATAATTGTTTAAAGGTAAATATAATACAACGGTGGTGTCCGTGATAGCGCTGGAGGAGCCCTGCGTGCGACAAGGAGGCATGTGTCTGAGAGTCGAGGATTGCGATCCCACCAATGTTGTGAGAATGCAAGCTGTACTGTGCCCAAAACAAAGGCACCTTGGTGTTGAATGTTGCTATGTGAGTTTTAAACATATTACTGTAAAAACATGTAAATTTTAGCCTATATACTCATTTGAAAAACGAGTTTTTACCCCCCCCCCCAGAAACAGAAAAGTCATCTAATGCTTTCCGAATAACACAAACACAACTAATCTGTGACTTGACTTTTATTTGTCAGTTTATGTTCATACTTTGAAATATGAGTAGTCAGAAGTGTGGCTTAATTTATTTTATATAAAGCATGTAGCATAACACTGACTTGAAAAATTTATTTATTGGCTCTGAATCACAGTGATGGCCCCCAAACACGCGGGGCCCGTAGTATTTGCTACTTTTACTAAAAAAATAGCATAACGTATAACTTATCTTTTTAACGAATAGACGATAATCTGAATATATAATTTTTACTATTAAAAGTTCTGACTTCATTAAAATTCTTGTTTATTTGTTTAAGTAATTACTTTTATTCGACTATACTCGTAGACACGGGGGCCCGTACTCAGTGCAGAGGTCCGTTTCTGGAATACCTGAAGGCGGCGGAGCAATGTAAAGTACGAAAAATAGTAACACATCTTAAATGTGCTTTTTACTGGTTTAAATATAGCAAAAATAAAATTCTTAATAGAAAAAAATATGACTAAACTGCTCAGATTGTGAAACGTGACGAATCATCAGATACAGAATGTTGGTATAAAATATTAGTAGTAAGTTTATAAAAAAAAATATATATTGTATATAGGTAATAGATAAACAGATTTTTTTTACGCCGCAGCCGTAGTATCTCCAGAGCGACCGCATAAAATTAGGTTTCTTTAAATTTAGATTTAATTCTAGGTATAGCTTTAAAAACGTTTTATCAATGAATCTGTTGATATTGTTATAAAATTTAATAATTTTTAGAATTTATAAATAAACAAACATTTTGGTTTATTTAGCTTTGTTTGTCTAAATTCGAAATTTTGTAAATTTAGTCAAATTTTCATAAATCAGTAAATTAAAACAAGCAAAAGCATTGATTCAATATGTTAATAATAAAACAAAGACGTCGTACACGAATATAAATATATTCATTGATATAATTAATAGCAAGTTCTTATAGCTATGCCTAGAGTTCAGCGAAATCGTTAGACGGTCGCTACCCTGACATCCGCACTGGGTACTGAGTGATATATATACTTCAACATACTGAAATATCAAGCTTGACATCAAGCTTTGCAAATTTTGTCATAAGCTCACAGACTACTAGTAAATAACACTGTGACAGCAATTAAAAAAATATATAATAAATACTTTTTTGTTTCAGTTTTAACAGCAACCACCGAAGTATTTTAAGAGCTAAGTAGTACTTAAGTTAACAAATAAGAGTTTGAAGCTTTGTTATGTAGTACTTATGATTTATAATTTTATTTATTTAAAGTATGTTTCGTTATATTTGTTAATAAGGTAAGTATTATTGTACTTACCTCTCACTCTATGATAGTATTGTTAATTTGAATAAAATATTTGATATTTAACAGCAGTATATTTCTCTTACAATAAAAATATCATGTCCTTGTACACGCTATATAATCGTATAACCTGAAAAGAGACGTTGGTAACATACTATTACTTTTTTATTCGATATTGTATGTACCTTCGTTATTTATGCTATGTATTAAACAAAATATCTTCTTACATTCTCATTAATTAACTTGTTTACACTCATAATGTATTATTTAACAATTTATGGTATGATATGACGTGATTTTTTCAAAGGAGGTCTCCTTTAATTACTATAATTAGTAAAACAAGATGTCACAATGAGTAAAGACGTCATACAGTTAAAATATTATATTTTATAATTCAACGCATGATTTAGAGTACCTCGTCGTATATTAAATTATATATCATGATTAATGAAAATCTGCCTTATCAGGTCATTTACATTGGCATTGGTTTCGCATACGGACTTCATTAACTAATGTAATGGATCCAAATCACTTTATGAAAGTGCATAAAATTGTAGGTATGTTTCTTGTGCTCACAACACAATCAATACCTTAAATTAGCAGTTTCTGTAAGAAGTATATGCAATGCAAAGTATGAAATCGGCCGGGATGTTATAAAGTACTTTTATTTTCATATAATTTAATTCGGGTTACGGCAAATGTTACTAAATTTCATCTTTATTTTCCTAGATATATAAAGTAAAGTATAAGTGACCCACTTGAATGACCTACATATTGATAATGACAACAATATCACGTGTTAAACAACCAAATTCATTCTGCGAAAAGTAATGTAGTGTCATTTTATACAATTTCATTATTTGATATATTATTATACGAACGCAACATATGAAAAAAAGTATCATTTTCTTAATAGAGCTTAAATTAGTGCTATTCTGTTAAAAAACAGCAGCGGTGTCAATTAAAGGTACGGTCAAATAATACCTTCAATAGGTAATAAATGTTTTATTTCATTGAAACTATGATGTCACAGCGCTGCGGTCTACGTACAAGCTGTTTAACAGAATAGCAGAGTTAAGGCCCTATTGTACTTCCGCTTACGTTCCCATACAAACAAATAAGCATTGAGAATAAAGACGCGCTCGTTTGATTTCTACTTTTTTAATCACGGAAAAAAACAAATGCACTTATTTTTTTTTATTATTTTGATTTAATCAAAAGCTATATTTGTATATATTTGTTATATAATTAAGATAAAATATATTAGTCGTAAAACTATTTAGAGTCCATCTAATTCTCCAAATTTATGTTTCTGTTTTTAACAAGCAGTCAATCATATATTTACTTTTCATAAATGATTTTTATTTGCCAGATATTAGCATAGCTTTATAATTGGTTCAAAATATGTAATTTCGTACAATGTCGCCTTAAGCACGACTAGAGCTTATTGGCAACGCTTGCGATGCATTATTAGACTATGATCTAGATTTTATTTACGTGTCAATGTTGTATGTAGTCAAAGGTGAAAAGGAATAACCAACATTTCTGGGCTCTATAAACTTAAACCGGCAAGTGACTTGTTAATAAAAATTGAATATTGCGCAGTTCAAAGTATCAAGGCAACAAAACGTGTCATACATGGGATTATTATAACTACTTTATCAATTGTCATTTATTTTGATAACCTTCTTGATCCATAGAGAAAATATATATATATTTGTATAATAAAACAGTGCTTAGTGCTGACGATAGTTTTGTGTTATAGGTATATATCTCTCTATGTTCTGTGTATATTATGTTAAAAAGTAAACGTTTTTTTAAACAATGATTTTTAACAGAAAATACTTCCTAGTAAACAGAAATCCTATATAGGCAAATCAAAGAAGCTTGAATTCGACTGGAAGAAGATAAGTATTGATGAAAATATGCTTAGCTTAGAGAAAAAGAAAACAGTTCTTGAAAGATTCATCAGTCCTGTAAGGTCTTGAGTAGCTCAGAGGTTAGAGCGGTAACCTAGATATCGAAAGGTCGTGGGTTTACTCCCATCTCAGAGTACCTCGGGTAAAGTGTTTTTTGTTTTTAGCATTTATCATTAAGAATATATTAACGATATAGCATTATGAATGCAAATTGATCAATTATAAGGAAAATTAGACTAAAAAACCGGTCAATTGCGAGCCGGACTCGCGCACGTAGGGTTCCGTACTCAAAACAAGCATAAAAAGACACGTTTGTTGTATGGGAACTCTTAAAAGATTATTTTATTCTAATGTTTAGTATTTGTTTTTATAGCGCTAACAAAAATACATTATCTGTGAAGATTTCAACTATCTAACTCATGAGATACAGCCTGGTACAATGATAGACAGCAAAGTATTAGTAATAGGGTTCTCGTTTTATCCTTTGAGTATGGAATCCTACAAATACAAACCTATTTCGAAAACTGAAATAAACCAAAACGTTTGAATAAATACCTATATGTATTATAAACACATATGGTTATAAAGGAATATGAACATATCCATTGATAAAATCAATGAAACGTTCTTATAGTTATGTCATAGCGTTTTTGACATTAGGTTAAATACGTCCCTATGTAGGTAGGCCGCTGTATGCTAATGAGAAACAATGTACGGTCTGGGTGTTGTTGTACTTTGTTCGTTGTTTCAGATTTCATAATACGATCAATTCAGGACTAACTTGGGATTTGCAGTGCTATTCTGCCTAGATATGTAGATACTAGATATTTTTTGCCTAGAACAAGATTTTTAAAGGTACAAAAACAAGGCATGTATAATAAAATTATAATGTATAATAAACTCCCCCACGGTATAACAAACATGAACGAATGAATGACGAATTCGAAAGAACGATAAAAACATTTTTTTATTCAGTATCCCTTATACTCATTAAATGAATTTATGTATGTCTATGCGTTTGGATGAAAATTCATTCCTACATAAAGACGGGTAAGACTCCAAATTGGATAGATCTCTGTGGTAGATGACAAAATATAAGAATGATCAATATTTTATGACTAGATATGAGATTATATGCATTTTTTCATATGCAAATGCATATAATTCTATATTTATTGTTTTATTACATATTTTATTACTTTTTCATTAACAGTGCATATTTTAGTAGTTATACGTGTTAAGTCTTTGGAAATATAAAAAAATATGATTGAACAAAGTAAAGCCCTTCCAAGTTCAATATCGCAAAAGGTTTGTGGCAAATTAAATAAAGTTTTGTATAAAAACCCCGATCTTGACTCAATAAAAAAAAATTGACGCATTCATCAACGGTACCGGACAAACTCTTCCTGAAGAGGTCTCTCTATGAATGGCGCCAAAAAGTACTGTCAGGTAACGTCAGTTGACGTCGGAAGATCATTTTCGGCCTATAAGTTGATATTGAGTGATAAACGTCACATGTTTGCTGTACAAAACCTGGAAAAGTATATTATTGTTTACTGTTACAAAAATTATAGCACTGAATAATAATACGTTATATTTTTATAATTTTCCTTATCCTTTCTATAAATTTATAAAATAATTCATTTATTATTTAAAATAAATGTAAATTCTAACTATAAATGATTTTTTGATTGTGCATACATAAACTTCACAATTTTTTTTCGCGGCTTGTGTTGCTTTCTTACCTATTTTGTCATAAAATTTTAAAATGTATTGAGTTTCTTCATTAGAATTATTCATTTTTAAGAGTAAGAAAAACAAATGGAGGTCATACATTTTCCTTATTTGAATACGAAGTATCTTCTTTAAAATTTAAACTTTTTAATTATATCGAAACTACCCAGATTCTATAATGGTGTAGCCTGAAAGATTTTATCACAAGTTTATGCATGCTATATGCGAAAAGACTTTTCCCCAATCTAATATAAAAAATGAATAAATGCATTCGGTGTTGAAGCTCATTCAGGGTTCTTGAGACTGTCAAAAGATTTGAACCAATTGGCGGCTTTCTCTATCGTATTTCGGCTTTAATGATTCCAGATGACAGCGAACCCGAACCCTCTTCCGTCAAATAAAATTATTAAATTGGTCGTTGAAGACTTATTGGATCTGTTTAATGAAGTCTAGTTTATTGTCTATATTTATTATGTGATATTTTATTGAAATAAAACTTCTGTAAAAAATCAAAATGTTTGAATCAAACCGTTTGACCGTCTCGAGGGCTCTTTGTACATTGTATAGACGGATAGATGAATCTGAAGCGCTCTCGTCTTCGTGTGAGTAGGAGAGAGTCACAGTTTGATCATTCGCGTGCACGGTGCCGGCCGTGTCCTGTGCAGCAACAAAATTTCTCTTTCGTTACACCGGTACATTTTGAGATAAAGTGGTAAGTGGATCTATTTTATTAATTTTACATTGTAATTTTAAACGTATACTTGTTTCCCATAAAAAATATCACACTTATTTTTTGTTATATGAAATACCCTAAATGGTGCATTTTTATACATTTATAAAAATTACATACACGGGAAAAGTACCTATATTTACGTGCGGCAATTTATAAGTGATGGAATATTTTGTTCAATATTTTTGATGTAGGATTCGATTTTACAGGAAAATTGATTTGTTTTTGTTTCTCCAATCAAATAAATTATAAATAAAGTTTTAATGATCTCTATTTATTAATGAATGATTACGATATGAGGATAATTGTCTCAAATCGCTTTCTAAAAAAAAGTTTGTAAGCATAGCTTCTTTAAATTGTTTATTTCTTATTAAATTTAGATATTTCAGGCCCTTTGTTGGCAGTAGTCTGAAAGCCTAATAATATGTAAAATACTTAAGATTTATAAGTTTTATTTATACTCAGTGGGAGCTGTTAACAAGGGCTACTTTTGCATTCCGTAGACATTATATTATTATATTTAAACTGAGACATTATATTTACACTGCACCAATAAGAGCAAATTAAAAATTTAATAATTAACTTTAAATCTTGATAACAATTACAAAATATGCCATAGTCTTTAGGAGCCGCAAGAGAAAAACATATTGGTTGAAAATAAATCAAATTATAAATAAATTCTAATTTTAGATCATAGGACTACAACACATTTAAAGACATTGATATAAAAATATAAAATGTGCATTAATTATCATCACATCACATCACCAGCCCTTTTACGTCCCCACTGCAGGGGCTCAGGCCTTCCTTATGGATGGCTAAGGAAGATGGGCCATGACCCTCCACGCTGGCCCAATGCGGATTGGAGGGTATTAACGACTGCAAATGCAGCCGGGACCAACGGCTTAACGTGCCTTCCGAAGCACGGAGTAGCTCGAGATAATAATTTTTTTGGTCACCCATCCCGTGACCGACCCTTGCGAAAGTTGCTTAACAACTACGATCGCGGGCCGCGGCGCTTATCCACTACGCCACCGATATTAGCATTAATTATATAGTATTTTAATTAAAACGATGGAAAACGTCATAATAAAGAAATCAAGTTTGCGTACTTAATTTTTTTACTACGGTCTTTTTCTACAAGAAATGTTTATGGTGATACGATAAATTATAAGTAATAATAAGTAACAACAAAAGATAATTTTTAATAATCCCGCTACGATATTTTATGTTACATTGTATATAAAGTTAACTGCATTATATATATTGAAGTCAGTTATGAGGACGCGTTCATAGTAAATGAGTCTTTAACTGGTTCTATACAAATTCCAAATAAGATTTAATTAACAATGAGGAAACTTCATCATACTACTGCAGGCATAAATATAATAATAGTTAAAAGAAATAAGTAG